TATATGTGTTAGCTTCAAGTCCCCTAGACCAAGTAAACTTTGCTCCATTGTAGCCAAGATCCATAAGTCCTTCTCTAAATACCCAATTTTTGAAGTCGGCTGACTTGTTAGTTGAAAAGTTGTAATTATCCGAAACTTCATCTCTGCTAAGCACTGAATTGTAGTCGACTATCGAGAGCCATGTGCCGTGAAATCCTAGAAGGTTCTGGGAAAGTTCCGCGAAAAGACCCTTTCTTAAAGCGAAATTTGGGCTTCCGTATACAAAGGATAAGAACCATGGTTGAGTGTCGACTTGACAGATTCTAAGTAAAATGAACTGTGGGTGAGTGAAATAGATCTCTACCAATGTAGGATCCTTTCAGAATATCCACAGTCCTCCAGAAAACCCCAGGGCCTCTACCCTTAGCCATTCGGCAAAAACCAATTTCTATACAAATCTTGTCTGCCTGATTGCCAGATACCCTGGGTTCAAGAAGGCAGATAATATAGGGATTATGCTCTCGGGTATGTTTTTTAAGGCACGACGAAATGGTTGTGATGCCGCACCTTGACAGTTCCAAGAAAGCACCATCATTAAAAAATTGGGGAAAACAGAAGCTCAAAAGAGCGGGCGGGAAGCCGTCAAGTCATCATTGTGGCTACTGCCACCAGCAACTTCTCCCCTTACATCCTTTGGGGTATCACAATCGAAGAAATCCATCCCCTCGTCCGGAGGAACGTTGTGGATGGGCGAAACAGCATTCTGCGGATTGGTTATCTCCGGAGGTCTAGGGTGGTGGTAAACTGTGTTCCTTGTGATTATTCTTCCACTTGAAGATCCGCGAACAAGCAAGTGTTCTTCTTTCGCGACTGCTTTCCTTGGGGTAGCAGGTCTGCTTCCTCTGCCTCTTTTTCGCGCACGGGCTGCTCCTGTCTGTCGTGTGGGATGAAGGATGGAATTCGAGGCACTTGGTAGACCTTGGCCAAAAATAACTGGAGCCTCCTCAATTTGAACCTTTCTTGGGGTTCCAAATCTACCACCTCTACCTCTTTGCGTCGTACGAACTTCCTTAAGCTGTCGTGGTGGATGGACAAGCGATTCAGTTGCAACTGGAGGAACTTGAGTAGGGGTTTCGGCTAGATTAATATCCGGTTGCCTATGGTCTTCTGCTCGGAAAGAAAACTCTTCATCTTGATCCTCAGTTTCCAGATCACTCAACGGTACAAAACGCGAATTCAGGGGTTGGATATTGTGCTCTGATGGTGTAACCGGACCATGGGATGTACCTGCGGGTAGACGCCTTTCATGGCTGCCTCTTGAAGTATACGTTCTTGGTCTCCTTCTATCCTTCCGTTGTACTAACATCCAGGTGCCGTACTTTTCAGACTGCAAACTTGAGGTATCCGTAGTGTACTTGGTGAGGACCGGGATATGATTATTGTTTACATCCGCCTCCATCGCCATGCTATCGTTTTCCTGAGATGAATCCTCTGCTTGACGGTTATCAATTCCGATCCCGCAGTGTTCTTTTCTGTGCCCGTATTTTCCACACTTGAAGCAGATTAAGTGCAAACCTTCATACTCAACTGGGCAAACTTGGTCTTCTAATGTAAATTTGGACAACAGTCGCTTGGAGAAGTCCAGTTCCACGCAGATGCGAGCGAATTTCCCTCGGCAGGCGAGACCAGTTGTAACATCAATTTTGATGGGTTTCCCAATTTTCTTCCCAATCTTTGTCAAGAAATCGTCATCGAAGTACTCGATTGGTAAAGTTGGAAAACGGATCCAGGCGATTAATTTCTCTGTTTTGTCCAATTGAGGATTGAAATTTGGACGCCATTCTTTGACTGTAATGTAGTGGTCTAGGATCGTCCATGGACCCTCAAATTTAGCGTGGTCGTAATCCTGTTGCAGTTCGAATTTCGCCAGAAAATAGTCGTAGTTCAAGTTGATGAGCTCCAAATGCCCCTCCAGTTTCCATAGTGTTTGCAAACGCCGAAGGAGAAAATTGTATCCAATCGTTCTTCCAAGAACGCGAATTATTAGCGTTCGTCGCCAAGGTCTTCTGAGTCTTGCCTTTTCTTCTTTGGTGACCCTAATTCTTGGGCAGTCTGGGTCTTCTGGCTCCACCGGGTACTCGTCGTCCGAAGCTTCTTCCTCCGGGATGCTTTCATCCACCTGTCTTAACGAGAGAAGTCCCGTCAATGACTGCTTGTAGGTGAACTGTGGTTGACGGTTGCTATTCGTGGACGGTGGACCATTGGGAGAGGTCGTGGGCGATTCCGATGTTGCTTCCAGTAGCTGAGTGTCCTCCAGGGGTTGTGATTCTCTGTCGCGTTTGGGCTTCTTGGTGCTGCGTTCAAGCAGATCTTGAACTTCCGGTGGCCAGACTCTTCCTTCCGACGACTCAGAAGGAGAGAGCACTTCTCTGTATCCATTGCTAGAAAATGTCAACTTCCAACATTAGATATTAATTTATATTTCTTAGAAAAATATTTTATATATGGAGAAAAAGCTATATAGAAGATTATATAATAAATAAATACATACATAAGTGTATAGTTGTGATCTTTTGAAATAGGAAATTATGAATATAGGGTTGTAATTTTCATATTTAAAATTTTGATCGTGTTTTTTACATAGTGTGTATGTTTGTGGACTAAAAAATAATAATTTTGATTTTCAAAATTTAAAATCAATATCGAGTAAAATTCAAGTACTCGAACATATAATATTGAGATGAGTCCACATTCCTAAAGATCAATTAAGTTAGTTGTTTTTCATATTTGAACTCCATCTGAGCTGTTTAGTACTTTTTTGTTTAAGCTAACCTAAATTGATTTAGATCATATGATCTTTGTCGAAACTTTTTCATAAATGAAAATTGTCGTATCTCGTAATGAAAGTTATTCTATATTTATATATAAAAAAAAAAAAAAAAAAAAAAAAGCATATTCCCTAAAGATGAGAATAAAAAACGAATACCATAACAATCGAATTTGAGTTTGAATTTAACAAATATTGGTCCTATACAAGACACTCATACTTACTTTTACTTTTTAATACAATAAAAAAAATCATTCTTACTTTCACAATTTTACTTTCCAATACGATAAAAATTCATTCTTAAACAAAATCAATCTTTATTTACTTTCTGAAAAAATTCATTCATTAAAAAAAATCAACTTATATTCCCTACAGATGAGAATATTTACTTTTACAATTTTACTTTCCGATACGATAAAAAATTCATTCTTAAACACAATCAATCTTTATTTACTTTCTGATGTGATAAAAATTCATTCATTAAAAAAAATCAACTTATATTCCCTACAGATAAGAATAAAAACCGAATACCCTAACAATAAATTTGAGTTTGAATTTAACAAACATTCTTCCAACAAACATGGGTCCTATTACATAGACACTCAATCTTTACTTACTTTTACTTTAATTTCATTCTTAAAGAAAATCATATGATATAATTAAAAAAAATATATATATAATTCATTCTTAGAAAAAATCAATCTTCATTTACTTTTACTTACTTTTACTTTATGATGTGATAAAAATTCATTCTTAAAGATGAGAAAAAGAAATGAATACCCTAACAATCGAATTCAAGTTTAAACTTAACAGACATAAGTTCTATTACATAAACACTCAATCTCTACTCACTTTTACTTCCTGATGTAGTAAAAAATAGTAAGTTATTTTCATCCTAGAGTCCCCAAAAAATCAAGAGTTTAAACTTAACAAACATGAGTTCTATTACATAAACACTCAATCTCTACTTCCTGATGTGGTAAAAAGTAATAAATTATTTTCATCCTATTAGTCCCAAAATAATCAACATTATAATTTTGAGTAAAAAGGAGTAAATGTTGAAAGTCCCATTAATATTTAACAAGTCATTCACAGGATAGCTTTAATTCGATGCAGTGAAAGGGAAAGGAGCTATAATCAATCAACAATAGACGCACAAAACTGAAAAATAAAAAATAAAAAATAAATAAATCATAAAGAAGAAAAAACCACTTGCGCAGTCCATAGATTTAATTAGCTAAAATATCATATACAAAGAAGAAAGAACTTAAGCTTTACAATATATCTTGTCTAAAAAACAAAAGAGCTTTAATTATATATAGCTGCTTCATATCCGATCCTTATCTTAGTTTCATCTACCCTTTTTGGAAAAAGGTTGAATCCCACCCCAACCTGATAGAATATTTTGAAAGATGTAATCCTGATAGAATATTTTAAAAGATATAAATCACGGTAACTCAATGACTCATTAAACAAATAGAATCTACCTAATAATACAAAATACCTATTATATTTTAAAATATGTCAATCATGGTAACTCAATGACACATCATATTGTCATAATCCCCGACAAGACTGAAATACCTATTATATTTTAAAATATGTCAATCATGGTAACTCAATGACTCATCATATTGTCATAATCCCGGACAAGACGAAATACCAACGACAAAATATACAAAATATCTATTTTGGAAGATGTAAATCATGTAACTCAATGACTCATCAAACAAATAAGATCTGTCATAATCCCCGACAAGGCAAAATACCAGTGAAAGATGTAAATCACAATGACTCAATAACTCAACAGACAAATAACTCAACAGACAAATAGAATCTGTCCACTTTAGACATAATTCCCAACAAGACGAAATAAATAGTGATGCAGACAAGAGATCTGTCCACCTTTAAACATAATCTCATTCGAACCTTAGTCCCTTCTTACAAATATTACCTACTCCTACTAAACCACTGAACCACTAAGGTCATGTACCCTAGCTAGCTAAGCTAAGATGGTGGATTTACAATAAAATATTTCATTGCTTGGCTATTGCAAACAATTAATTAATATATAATAATAACCACTTCAGTAATATATAATGGACGATGCATCATTACGTACCAAATTAACAAAATCTATAATATATCATATCCCCAGGCCAGGCCACAATCATCATTATTATATATCATCAAATTGAACCAAAAAATATGTGGGCCAATAGATTTCTCACACAACACATACGTTTCATTCCATGGAAATATATATTCATCAGTCATCACAAAGTTTCTTATGTGTATTCATAGTGCCTGATTGATTAAAATTAATATCAAAGAAGAAAAACGGAACCCGGTTCGGTACGCATTATCATATCCCCCGACCGCGCCGGTCTGATCGGTCTTGAAGCTAGCTAGCTAGTGCCGCCGGTTCAGGCGCCGGGAGCCGCGTCCTTGACCTTATTACCCCCGTGAAGGTAGCCGCCGGCGTAGTCCTTGACGTGGTTGGCGGTGTCGACGATCCTGCTCCGGGCGTAGTCGAAGCGGTCGGAGCCGGGCGGGTGGAAGCCGCGGTAGTAGCGGTAGAGCCAGGAGAGGGTGAGGATGACGGCGATGCCGAAGGTGCAGACGGAGAGGAGGCCGGCGATGGCGATGAAGAGGACGGTGCCGATGGGGATCCAGAGGGGGCTGGAGATGAGGATCAACGGCGTGAAGAAGATCAAGCCAAGGATAGTGGCGGTGAGGGTTAAGCCGGTGAGGAAGAGGAGAATCCCGCCGGAGACGACCAAGGTGAAGAAACCGAAGAGCTGAGATGAGTTGGGAGCGTATGCATGGTCCTGAAATCTGCGGAGGAAGGAGGCGGCGGGGACGCCGGAGGCGATCATTGCGCGCGGCGGGAGTCTTTGATTTTGGGCGGGGATGGATTGCAGGTCGGCCATTTGTGATGAGCTAAAGAAGAAAGAGTTGTTAGGAGGGAGCTGAGAGACGATCGAAGTGAGAAGAGTGGCTAGGTAGATGGGATGGGATGGGAAGGAAGGTTATAGAAAAGAATGGGATGTGAAGACACGTGTGGGGTATACAGTTAGCCAGCCGCGAAAACCCATGCATGGCCACACGTGGGAGGCTAAGTAGTGAAGCTTGGACCTTTTCCTTTTCTCTTCTCATCAAAACTAGGATCTATCCATGCATCTCTATCATTTTTTTTCTTCTTCTTTTATTTAATAAATTCAAACGAGTGCATGTTGACATATGCACTCCAAATTTTGAAACAAATTAAGTGAATGAATGATGCTGCAATCTTGTTTACCTGCAACATGATGAGCTAGATGATAATGCAAACAATATTATATAACCATGGTCCATACAACTGTGTATCATAAATAAATAAATAAATAAAATTATTTTAAATATATTAAAAGTACATTATTTTAAAGTATATTATTTTGTTGGGCGTCGACCGAGTTGGTCAAGTTCAGCCCTGCTCGATTCAAGACGTGGCGTTGTGGCTTACCATTGAGAGATGTGGTTAAATGGTTAATGTCCACCTACCTATCACCAATTGGTTTTAAGTAGGATATGGCAACCAGGTACCATAGAACTCTGTGGTTAAGTGTGCTTGACTTCCGAAAATCCCGGGATGTGTGACCCCTGGGAAGTAAGCATAGTGCAGCGCTGAGATCCAACAATTGGTATCAGGGGAGGTCACGGGTTCGGATCGATGGCGAGGTGAAAGCCCCAGTCCAATCCCAGGAGGGGATGGTGGGCGCGTAGGCTAAGGATCGAGTCAAGCATGCTGCGCAATTGGGCTTGGTGATCAGGGACCGGGGGCGAAACAGTACAGACGGATTCAGAAAATTTTTCTAGAAAAGGCGAAACATTAAAACAAAAGAGATAATTTAAAAATAAATAAATAAACTACCTAAGAAATATAATTGTAAATATTGTTGGATATGGATGAAAAATAAAACACATCGAAACTTATAAAAATATTCATAACAAAATATGAAACATAATTAATAAAATAATTTGAATAGAAAACACATTATAAATTACACATCTTATTATAGAGTGTGTGTGTGTAATATTAAAAAAGCTTTGAATAGAAAACACATTATAAATTATAGAGTGTGTGTGTAATATTAAAAAAGCTATTAAAATGAATTGTAAAACTATGTTGATGCTAAGATTGGAACCCTTAACCTCATTATTACCAAAATTGTGCTCTACCACCTACTCTAACTCACTTCTTATTAGTATTTTATAGTGTTTTTATACTAATACTAAAACATGTACTATATATACATATATACATACAAATACTATATATGAGGTGGGGGTGGGGTTGGGTGAGGGGTGAGGGGGGCAGCCGCCCCCCCTCTCCCTCCGTCCCTGTTGGTGATCAAAGGTTGCGGCAGGTGCTGGGAGGGGCTTACCATGGAGAAATGTGGTTAAATGGTTAATGTCCACCTACCTATCACCAATTGATTTTAAGTAGGATATGGCAACTAAGTACCATAGAACTCTGTGGTTAAGCGTGCTTGGTAATCCCGGGATGGGTGACCCCCTGGAAAGATAACCCTGGGAAGTAAGCATAGTGCAGCGCTTGAGTACTGAAAGTACATTATTATTAAATAATGTACTTTTAGTATATTAAAAATGTATTTTGTATTCATGGTCCACATAACTATGTGGACCATAGTCTACACAATAATTTTCCATGATCAATCGTTATATCGTGGATCAGGGTCCACATTGTATTATGGACCCTGGTCCAATACAAATAATTTGACTTCATAATATACAAAATTCATGTTCATAATGCACATAATTTATGTTCATAATACACACACACATAAACATGATATAATGAACATGAATTATGTGTGAATTTTGTACATTATGTGTATTATGTTAAGTGTTTATGTGTCTTCATTATATCGTGTTTATGTGTATGTGTATTATGAATATAAATTCTATACATTATGAATATAAATTTTGTACATTATGAAGTCAATTTATGTGTATTGGACCAGAGTCCAATATATAAATTGCCGCAAAGTAACATGTTATTTAATGGGCTAACTGCAACTCATTATTATTTAATGGTCCAATTGCATGGTTGTGTCTAAACTAGTTCAATAACCTATTTAAACCATATGTTCCTTAGTTCAAATGTGATTTTATTTAACTTTTTAAAATTGAATAAAAAATAAATAAATAAAATTACATTATGTTTATTTTGGTTCACGAAATTTTTATTTGAGTATTGCTAGATACTCCCATATATTTTTTTCCCCTCCAATCCATCCCTCATGACATGATAACATCTAATTGGTAACTAAATAATTTTTTTTAATTAGTGGTGAGTTACCAATTCATGGGCACCCAATGAATAAAAGTTACATCAAAAGTGTAATAGTGTAAATAGTAGAAATTTTTCATTCCAACATTTGATCAGTACATTATATTACAAGGATATATATATATATATATATATATATATATATATATATATATATATATATATATATAATTGCAATCATAACGGAAAGCAATAATGACATATATAAATACAACAATTACAACTGTTAAATTACACAATCAAGTCATAATGTCCACAATTAATCTAATTAATCTAACTCTATAATAAAGCAATAACTTGCTGAAGTTTTCGTTTTCCCGCCACCTAATACTACGCCGTTTTGGCTTAAGTTACTGCTATTATATTTTTCCCGCTCATGCATTGTGCTGTGTATTTCCCATGCGTTAATGACAATTCGGCTAATTAATGCTAGATTATTTACCTTCATTATACCCCTCATGGCAATACCAATGCATATAATGTCAGAGAATTAATATCATTTCTGACCTTTCAAGATCACAATATAATTCAAATTTTATTTGTATAACCTAATTGTACCAGATAATAATCTAAACATACGCATAGAAATTATTACAAGCCCCTTGGAATAATACAAACCTAATAGACAATATTAGGTTAATTAAAAAATTCAAATGAAAGGTCAAAAACATTAACATTTAATGAATTGTTGGTGTTCCAATGTTGTGGCTGCTCACTAAAACTCTTCGGTTCTTGTGATTTGAATATCTCATTTGTGCCTATAAAAGGCACAAACCAGAGATTTGTTTCGTCCTACATTGAAGCTGTTCTTGCCATCACCATTAACCATCTTCAAAAGAGTTCTAAAGATGCCTTCCCTTTTTATTGCTGTAAAAGATATCCAACCTATACACAAACTGAGAGGTATTACAGTACGTTGTGTATGGGTGTATGTAGTGCATGAAAGTAGGGGAGGAGGGAATACCATCAAGAGTATGGAGTGTTTGCTCCATGATGATCAGATAATACATTATTTTTTTTTACTGCATTTGTAACATAGACATGTACATCTTTAGTTCTTCATTATGCAAAACAGATTCAAAAAATACCAGTGCAATGCACGAAGATAATCTTTGAAAATGTGTAGGGATGGAGTGAGTGAATCCCAGTGCAAAACACTTGGTTGAACTAGGATTCACTCACTCCGTCTCTACCCATCTTTGAAAATGCTGTAAGAAGATGGGTACATACTTAGTTCTTCATTCTGCAAAACAGATTCAAAAAATACCAGTGCGATGCACGTAGATAATCTTTGAAAATGTGCAGGGATGGTGTGAGTGAATCCCAGTGCAAAACACTTGGTTGAATTGGGAAAAAATAATAAAGTTATGGAACTGTTTTACTGTAATATTTATTTCTTTCTTATTTGCAGGGAGATTATATACATGCCAATATTCAGAACACAAATGTTTGGAAAATACAAAGATGTTATAAAGGAAGGACAACTCTATGAGATAAAATTTTTTTATGCTGTTACAAATTATTACATATACAAGATCACACAACACAAATATATGCTTAAGTTCAATTACAAAATAGAAGTCAAAGTGATAAATTCTAAAGGGTTTCCTATGCATATGTTTCAGTTGACCAGTTTTGTTTCATTGAAAGATCCAAATGAAGTGAATGAAAAAGAACTCATTGGTAATACTGTTCTACTCTTCCTATTACAATGATAAAAAAAAAAACTGCTTAATCTTATATATAACTTATTATGTTATTTAAATATTTTGCAGATGTGATGGGTCGTATAGTGGAGATCTATAATCCTGTTGACAAGATTGTGGGTGGTAGAGCAGCAAAATTGATTGACTTTCAAATATGTGAAAATGCGCATGGTTAAACTTTATTATAAGTCTATCTAGATGAAGTAAATTTAACTTAAATCCTACATGTATTTTATCTATTAACTTAACTGAGTAATTACTGCTTATGGCTACAAAAAACAGTGACTTTCAAATATGTGTTAATGCGTATGGTTAAACTTTATTATAAGTATGTCTAGATGAAGTAAATTTATCTTAAATCCTACATGTATTTTATCTATTAACTTAACTTAGTAATTACTGTTTATGCCTAAAAAAACAGTGACAATTACTTGATGTGTACCTTGTGGGATTCTCATGTTGACTCTTTACTGCCATATTACAATTCTGATTCGAAGGAACCAGTGATTGTAGCTATTCAGTGCTGTAGGGCCAAGGTGGTCAATGGTGAGTTTTATAAGCTTAGTCATATTTCCTATTTTGTGTCACTATGTGAACCTAAGTAAGACTATTTACCCCTAATATGTGACAAGTGTGAAAAACACTATCATGAAGGTACAACAAGGTATAAAGTTTTGGTTAGAGTTTTAGACAAAACTAAGGATGCACCATTCCGGCTTTGAGATCGTGAAGTGGCTGATTTGGTTGGCATTCCAGCTGCTCTTTTGTATCAAAAGTACAAACAGGTATTTTCTAATATTAACCTTTTTAAAAAATGTTTCTGTTTTAAAGTTTAAATTTGAACTAACCCTAATACTTAGCAGGCTGATATTGACATTCCCCCTGAACTTGAAGTACTAAATGATCTCTCAATGCTGTTTAATGTAGCGATTAAAAGAGCACAAATGAGAGGAAAAAATCCAACTTTCAATGTATTGAGGGTCCTTAGGGATGATGAGTTATTGTCCACCTACTGTGCCAATTTGTTTGAAAATCAAGAGAAAGATCTCATGTCACATATGATAGAAGAAGATGAGAACATTATTGACCAATCTGAGGTAAAATTTGTTTACCTACTTTAAGTTCAAGTACATGTGGTTTTCTTACACATCATTCAGTTTATTAAAAAATGATTAAACATCCCCATTTAATGTGCAGGAAGCCTCTAAAGGTGAAGAGGTCAATAGTCCTGATAATACACATCCCTCACAACCCAAGGGAATGATAGAGCTGACTCACCTACTGTGAAAAGATCCTTGATGGATGAGTTTTCATCATCAAAAGGGAGCAAAAAATCTAAGGCTGCAGTCATTAAGAAGGAAAAAATGAACTGAATTTGGGATTGTATATTTCTGAAGAACAATGTAGCACTTTTAATTGTGCTTACTTTTTGGTTGTTGCTAATGACTTTAGATTTCTGTTGGAACTTTTTCACAATCATGAAGCACTGTGGATTTTATTTGAATGTTATCATATTTTATAGGCTGTTTTTATATTTTAAATGTGTGGCTATTATTATCTATGTTTTCTTTTTGGTTTAATTATTTTTCCAGGATAGATACTTCAGTGGTGTTAAGTACAAGTTCCATAACTTGGGGCAGAGCAACCTGGAGCTGGAATGGATTGAAGACAAACATCTAGACTTAGACTGTTCCATTAGGGATCCTACATAGTCCTGTAATGTATTTGTAACCTAACATAAGTCCTGTAATGTATTTGTAATTCACTGCATAATGAATACAAATTTCCTTCTAAAAGTTACAACTTACTACTATGTATCTATTTAAAACTAAACACTATACCTCAACTTTGACTATTACAACAGTATGCAATCTAAGCAAGCATCACATAAATATTGACAGTAATAGTAAAAACTTATAATAATTGCTGGATTCTGACAAATACTATAAGATTAGCAAAGTTATCAAACAGAGTAGGAATCAGACAATATTGCAAATAAAAATATTCAGATTAGCCATCAAGTTAAGGGTTTCAAAAGAAGTTAATCAAATATGATTTGTTAAATCATATCAATAGGTAAAAAAGGCACAGTATTAAAAAAAATACACATTGAAACTTATTATATATATGAAATGGTTATCTTAAATAGTTGAAAATGTTTATATATATCAAATGCTTATCTTATATAGTGTTATTCAAAAAATTAATAACCATTTGTAATTTGAAATGTTGGATAATTTTCAAATGTAAGAGTATTATAAGATAAGCAGCTACATTAGATATAAGACTATTTGTAAAATGTCATATTCATTCAAAATGTTAAAAAAAAAAAAAAAAAAAAAAAATTTAAAGGCATTGACATAATGCATCACATCGTGGTAGGATATAATTCATGTCAAAACTGTGCAGGAATACTTATGTATATGTAGCCGCTTATCTATAATAGTGTTAAACTTTTGCAAAAAACTTTGCTAAAAAGAATGACATCTGAAAAGTGGTAAAGAGGACAAAGATTATTGAATATTAGTAACCATTAAGTAAGATTCATAGACTTCATATGAAAAGTTCTACTAATACAAGTTTATGAGAGTACTAATTTGCCTTAAACAGTTGGGCATTACAACACTATACTACAACGAAGGTTCAGAAATGCTTTTTACATTGACCAAAAATCTGCAAAAAAAATCAAAAGACACAAAACAAATGAAATGACAAAGGAATAATTTATCACAGTTCTGTTTCAGAGTAAGATAAAAACAACAGATGGCCCAAAAAATTGGAAAAATAATAATAATAAAAAAAAAAGTCTCATGGCTAAGCTTAGTAGCAAGTATAACATGTATAAATACAATTTTCTAAACTTTTGAACTCTACCACAATTTTAGAGCAACAATTTTTAAAAACAATTACGGCATTAGAAATTTTAATGCAGTTAAAAGACAAAAAATTCAATGCAGTTGAAACTTCAAAAAAAATTGAAATTGAAAAGGCAGATTTTAGCAAAGTTCTGTTTCAGACTAAGACAACTATCAATGAAGGGAACTGCCAAAGGCAGTGCAATGATGATGTTTACAATAAGATAACTTGAACATTTAATTTTAAAAAAATCTAAAAGACAGTCAATGGCAAATAAAATAGGAAAAATTGACAAACATGGCTAAGCTTAGTAGCAAGTATAACATGTATAAATAAAATTTTCAAAACTTTTGAACTCTACCACAATTTTAAGAGGAACGATTTTTAAAAACAATTACGGCATCAGAAATTTTAATCATCATTTGCCATCTACTGGGAACCAAGAAGTTAGTAATCTCCAAATGATAACAAGTAAGACAAAAAATTCAATTCAGTTGAAACTAAAAAAAAAAAAATTGAATGTGAAATGGCAGATTTTAGCACAGTTCTGTTTCAGACTAAGACAACTACCAATGAAGGGAACTGTCAAATGCAGTGCAATGATGATGTTTACAATCAGATAACTTGAACATTTACTTTAAAATAAAAAAACAAAGACATTCAATGGAAAATAAAATACCAAAAATTGACAAACATAAGCACATCTTAGGATTAGGTATATCATGTAAAAAAAGGAGAAAATTTCAATTTTGGTCCACTGACTATTGCACTTGTGTTAATTGCAACACTTGACTTTCAAAAATGTTAATTTAGTACCTTGACTATGCAATTTCTATCAATTTTGGTCACGCCGGCCAAATCTCACCGGAAAAACGGTTATTTTATGTTAAAAAAAATTTTAAAAAATTATTTGCTTCTTCTTCTTCCTCAACACCTCATGTGCCAACATTCTTTTCCGCCCTCTTGAGTCTGCATAAACATCATCTTAGTCAACTAAACCTGCGATGGTGATAGCTGGTCCTGTATCGGTGGTCCTGTGTGATAGCTGGAGACGGAGGAAAAATAACGTCAACCATTGGATCGTCATTCTCAGAGAATTCCGGCTCCGGTGGTTCGAGTTCAGTTCTTGGAGAGATAGATGGAGCATGTGATGTATCCATCCACATGCTATCGTCGTGCCTACGATTGGTGTTCTTCAATCAAAATATTGGCCTAAGAACTTGCGCATGCGTTTCCTGAGACTGCTTTCCTTCTTCTCCGGCTTCTTCACTTTGTTAAGATCGTGTTCGTGTAGGAACTGGATCCACTTCCGTAGGATATGGCTAACGCTGCCGTGATTGTTTTCCCCCGTCAAACGGTTTGAATTTGAATCCTTGGTGCCGTGATTATTTTCCGGTAAGCGGTGGTTGGACACCTTCTGGATATCATCTTGTCGGCGAAGATGGCGGGGACCGTTATGGTGGAGGAAGGGGATCGTCTTTGGCATGAGACAGTGGCGAACGGCGCCGCTGCTGCGATCGATTTCAACCTTGTCGCTATTGTTATCTCTCAGAAAGTATGAAACCATCTCATCGGCGATTTTAGGCAAGTGTTTCGAAACCTCCTCGACGTTAACATGGTGTTGGTATAGGAATGGGAACATCTTCGATGAGACATGGTTGAAGCTGCTTTTCATGTTCCCATTTCATTTTTAGTTTTTCCCACCTTGTGCGCTTCCGGCGGCTCTATGAGGTTGAGAATGTGTGATAGGTGCCGGCGGTGATTTCTGGAGACACTTTTGCCGGCGGGGAAGGATGTCGGAGAAGATAAGGAAGCCCAAAAGAGGTTTAAATAACATGAAATGACACTTTTTCCCTTTTTATTTAATGAGTTAAGTTTTTCTGGTGAGATTTGGCCGACAATTTGGCCGGCGTGACCAAAATTGGTAGAAATTGCATAGTCAATGTACTAAATTAACATTTTTGAAACTTAAGTGTTGCAATTAACACAAGTGCAATAGTCAGTGGACCAAAATTGAAATTTTCTCTAAAAAAAGTATACACCAGCAGCATAATTATAGAGCAACAAAAATGACAAACAATTTGTATTCATAATTTATAATCGCAATTTGCCAACTACTGTGAACAAATAAATTAGTAATTAAAGACAAGTCATTTAATGCAGGTATTTAAGTAAGATATTAACTAACACACAGTTATACCAATTTCAAGAAAAAATGAACAGTCATACTGTTTTTTTATTGTCAGAATAACTTTTTGACAATTATGATTACTAAACATGAAATATATACAATACAGTTTATGTCACTAATACTAATGATAGATTATATCCATGCTAAAGAGTTGAAATTTACACAAAATTGGAAAGATATGAGGCAGATTAAAGCATCCAATAGGCACAAAGCGGAAACAACTAATTCACAACAAATGTTAGATTGAAAACTCTTACTTGCAGTACTTACAATACTTCAACTGCATTTTTATCTTAAAACCACATCTTCTTAACTTGTACAGCCAAACAAAAAAAAAATATTACAAACAAGAATCAAAATTATTAGGTTTACAACTACTACTTTCGGTGTAAAGATCGTAAGAATGTATCAAATCTAGCAATTATATCATACAAACCCATTCTATAATACTATGCTAGAAGGCAGTCCCAAAAACAAAATATAAACTCTTCTATTCCGAACATTAATCTATAATTTCAGGGGACATGCATTCAAGAAAATGTAAATAAATAACCAACTATTAGTATATGTACTTAGCTTTTTTAGGGTTTTCTCCGACTGCACTAGACCCTTGAAATCTTGATACGAACTTGAAATTGAAGGTACCAAAAGACGTAGGGTTAGGATTTTGAGCTACAAATTCCCGAGTTTAGGCTAATAACTAAACGAATTACAATAAAAAATAGTGAAACAAGAGACACATCGCATGGTTTTCAACCCAAAGAAAGGTCACCCGCGATGGTCTACACCGCCGATAAGTATTATCGGACATGTTTTGGTCGAAAATTTTGGACAGAACGAGAGCTAAGCGGAGGAAGGGAGAGAGAGCTGGAGGCAACCGATGCGGGGAGAAGGAATGAAGCTGAAGAGTCGGGTTAGGGCAACAAACAAGGGTTATACACCTAGGTAGTAATGGGTCGGATTTGGGTCATTAGATTGGGCTTCCATATTTGGGTCAGTAGGCCTGATCTTGAATCAGATGGAAATTTGTGTTGTAAGTAGGCCTGATTTTAAAAAATGTTTGGATTATTAATTTGTCCTTCAATTAGCATGTTGCATGCAATAATTATTGAAATTATGCTATATGTGCTAAACTTATTTTTACAAAATTTCAGTTGTGTATTTTTAATTTAATCATCGCACGGATACAATGGTATACACAAATGTAAGGAACAAAGAATTGGTACTCTCAAAAAAATCATTTCAGCTAAGATACCGGATGAAAATACAGATGCAGAATACTACAAAGCAGTTGAGGAATTTATGATGCATGGGCCATGTGGAAAAGCACGTTTGAATTCGCCTTGTATGGTAGATGGACGATGTTCAAAACATTTTCCTAAGAGATTTGTTGATTGTGCATCTTTTGATGATGATGGATATCCGTTATATAAACAACGGGACAATGGGATGACAATTACAAAGAATGGCATTGCATTGGACAACATGTATGTTGTACCGCACAATAGACATTTGTTGCTTAAATACAAGGCTCATATAAATGTAGAGTGGTGCAACCAGTCCCGCTCAATATAATCAAGTACCTGTTCAAGTATGTAAATAAGGGACATGATCGGGTAACAGCCAAGTTCTACAAAACTAGCAATGATGAAGACACTACTACAGTCATAGATGAGATTAATATGTACTATGACTGTAGGTACATTTCACCCTGCGAAGCGGTTTGGCGTTTGTTTGGTTTTGATATACAACTTAGGGCTCCTTCCGTGGAAAGGTTAAGCTTTCACCTCCCGAATCAACAAACGGTGGGGTTCTGCGATGACGATCCAGTTGAGAACATTGTTAATAGACCCACTATAGCACAGAGCATGTTCTTAGAATGGTTTGAGGCTAATAAGACATTCCCAGATGCAAGAAATCTGACTTATGCTGAGATGCCAACGAAATTCGTGTGGAAGAAAGATGTTAGAAAATGGCAGCCAAGGCAAAGACGTTTCGCAATCGGAAGGATTTTTTACGTACCACCAGCCACGTGGGAAATATTTTATCTTAGATGTTTGTTGAATAAAGTATGTGGTCCTAGAAGTTATGCCGATATAAGAACTGTTGATGGTGTGCAATATGGTTCATTCCGGGATGCGTGTTATGCTAGGGGTTTAGTTGATGATGACAAAGAATATGTTGACGCAATTGAGGAAGCAAGTCATTGGGCGTCTGGAGATAAGTTGAGGAGATTGTTTGTTACATTGCTAATGACAAGTTGTATAGGAAAACCGGAAGCCGTTTGGAGTGTTGTGTGGCAACATCTGTCTGAAGATGCACAATATCAAATACGAAAACAATTGCATAATACAGGTACACGAGCTCTTACTATGCATTTTTTTCACTATGATTTGGCTAAAAAATGCTATTCATTACTAAAATTGAAAAAACAAAAAAAAAATCTATATTAAATTATTGCTTGAAAAATACGCAGATTACGTCATGAATGATGCTGAGAAGAAGAGCTTTGCTTTAGTTGAGATTGAAAAGATGTTATCAATGATGGGAAAAAGTTTGAGGGACTTTCCAGAAATGCCAACGAAAAACTACGAGACACACAGTTTAATATCCAATAGGCTCATACATGAAGAATTGGCATATGATTGTCTTGCTCGTAGATATTGTTACTCCCCCTGAAGATAATAATCTTCCAATTTTATGAACATATTTCTCAAAAGCATATGTAGGTAGGGACTTAATGAACAAGAATGATAGAATGTCACTAGAATGGACCTTCTGAATAAGTATTTTACCAACTCTTCTGGAGTTCATGCGGGTAAAAGAATTTAGGTGCAATGTGCTTTGTAAGGTTCCCTTTAACATATCCATTATTCATATGTGTAACACATGCTGCATTGTCCTCATATAGGACATTGTGGGAAAAACATAGCATAATTGGTTTGGGACTTGACATTATTGGGATCAAACAAAATAGCAAGTATCTGAGTAGCCTATCAAAATCATACATTGGTTTATCACTTAAACGTCAAAATCTTTTGTAATTTGAAGATATTGGAGGATATGATAAACACTATTCCAATATTTAATTGCAAAATGAGCATTAAACGTTACTAGCAATTTCATCTAAAATACAATTTCAGGTCTGGTGCGATTATGAAATTTTTAATCATAAAGTAGTGCTCCAATGATAAATAAGTAATGGACTTTCAGTCCCAACACATCATCATTATCCTCTTTAAATCCAACAACGGTTCCTTATCTTCTCCAAGAGATTGGAAACCACTAGTGTGATAAGTAAATTGCACTTATCCATATAAAACGTGTCAAAGGAATTTTTCAAGATAGACTAACTAGTGTATAAAATTTCTTCAAAGAAATACTCGATCTGTAGGTCGAGACAATACTTGATTTCTCAAGTCTTTCATTTCAAACTCCGTGTTTAGGCATGAGCTAATATCATTAGATCAGTCTCTTTATGCATTTCAATTATATTTATGCAATCAACATAAACTAAGATAATAAATAAATAACTTCATTAGCACTTCCTAATGAGCACATAATAATGACACATATTTATATTTACATATATATTCCTACTTCAGGAGAAAATTACTCAGTTAATTGCTTACTGCTTCAAGTCAAGTAAAGGCTTTGTAATACAACAATATACATGTTGCAATTTTCATATCCAATCATTCTGAGAATTATAAATCCATCAGAGATTTTTACAAATAGACATTAGCATCTAATGACCTATAATTATGTGGTCATGACGTTCATCAGATGCATATCTAAATTTATTATTTTGCCAATTATGTAGCGGAACTTAATGACATCCATTATTGGATAGTATATTTGATTAAGCTCAATTTCTAAGTCAACCAGATTCTAGCCATTTCCCAAAGATATTTATATCTGGTTGTTCTGCATCATAATATTCTAATTATTTGGTGCACATATAAATTTACTGGTTTTCTCATCTTCTGAGTTGTTCTACATATAAATTATTTGGTGCACATATAAATTTACTGGTTGTTCTGCATCATAATAGATCTCGAAAAAATACGCGATTTGAAAAAAAAATTGTCCAAAACGGACAACCGAGTCAAAAGTTATGCCTTCCCGAACTTTTCCCACTTGAAAATGCAAAAAAAAAAAATAATAAAATAAAATAAAAAATTTCAGCGCCGGTTCAGCCGGCTAGGCGGTCTAGGCGACCGCCTAGCCGGCAGACCGCGGAGGGGCAGCTGGCAGCCGCCTAGGCGCGATTTTTGCAACCATGGTGAAAATACATTTTATTATCACTCATTTATTAACTTTCTTTTTGTAATAGATAAGTTCACTATCACTTATTTTGCTAATTTATCACATCATTTTTTTGAAAATAAAAATGTATATGTTTAGTGCCAACAATATATTTCAAAAAGATTTATTAAAATTAATGGTAATCAAATTTTAAAAGGAAAAAATTAAGGAGCAATTAGTGACAATTAAAATTTTAAAACTACTAGTATCTTCACCCGTGCGTTCCGCGAAATGGATTTGTTATAATATGTTAAGAATATTTAGATTGATGTACAATTGTGTAAATTATAACATTGAATATTATATAGTGCAATTGAAAGATGGAGTTGGATCGATTATGTTTTTTGATGTTATCATTGCTTGAATTCAAGCAAATAATTGCCTAATTGAGCGTATATATTTTGTTTTTATTCAAACATATATAACACAACTTTTAGCATAAACAACAGCTGAAGAAATAGGTAGTCAATTAATAGAGAAAAATGTTACCATCTGTGATGACAGTCAAAGGTGTGACGGGTCGAATTGCTATGTTCAATGCATATAAATTTGGGTTGCTAGCAACTGCAATAACTTTACAAAAATAATAGAAACAAATAAATACAAAATAATGTTAACACGTAAAATAACACACAAAATAAAACCCGACCGAGTAGTCGAACTAATGAATAAACCATGGGCAAGAATTTAATCCCAACAACGCCTTCTGTTCGCACGATGTCGATCTTCATACAACGAGGAGTGGTGGGCTAGCTATTAGTGTATGAACTGACTGCTTGGTAGAGATAATAAGGTAAGCCGTCGGCCCGAAACCCAATCTATAATGTAAATTAAGTAATCAAGCCCCTTGGGCAACCGACCACCCTCATTATGAGTTCAAAGTTAAGTTTTAACTAGAACACAGTGCGTGATCCCAAACTTGCGATCGTAGTTGAGTTTGCTCGAATGATTCCTAGATCACTTTATTCGGTTATTTGGTCGGAGTATGTGGTTAGATGAACCCGGCCTTACTTACTATCTTGTGGTGTCGATCTTAGCACCACATTGGGTGGGGGCTGGTAACCGGCCCGTAGACTACTCATAATGAACCCGACCTCTCGATTTGGGATAATGGACTTAACCATTTGATTACCACCAGTCCCGATCTTTTAAGCTGACGGCTTGATCCGTCGGTGAGCTCAGAATCATGTTGAGCGTAAAGCGAACCTAACAACTGAACTTAACCGAAATCCTGAGCATTTTGCAAAAATTTAATTGTCGATAGCCAATTTGGCCGGAGTAGTAAACCGATTATGCAGTCGAGTGGCGTCGACCTTACGATCGGTTAACTATACGAACGCTAAAGACCAATAGGTCCTTGACCCCGGGGTGTTAGAAAAAAGGCAATGTGTGACTAAGTGAAAGGCAAAGCAGTGAATGACCATAAACTGAATAAAACTAAAATAAATGAATTAAAAGCCCATAAAGGCAAGTCTGCATGCTCGGCACAACAAGGGTCAAGCTCCCATCAATCCAAAGTTCATAGTCTTTCCCGACACAACATGGACGGGCTCCCGAACAAGAAGACCTACTCACTTTTCTCCCTCGTCTCCTCTGGTTGCTCGGTGCTATCCTTAGTCGGAGCGGGTTGAGTGTATGGCGACGAACCGGATGAGCAACCTCATTGGGTAGGACACAAAGGATGGTTGCTAAGTCGTCGTCGTCCAATGACTCAGTGAGGGCCTCTATTACATCAGCCTGCATCTTCCTCTTACCACACAAGAAGGCCTACCGGTTGTATTCCCGGACCAGCTTTTCCTTGGCATCAGTGCTCAGTAACGATCGAAAGAAAGGCTCGGCGATGGCCTGATCGTTGAAAATCCTATCAGCCAGGACTCTGGGCATTGTAACAACGTCGTTTAGAAAAGACACCGAAGCTTTGTACCCTGCGACGGTAGTGGCGATCATCCCCACGATTGCTTCATCCCTCTTCTCGACCTCCTCGACCTTCTTCTCAAGCTCACGAATTTTGACCTCTCGGCAAGCGAGGGATTTCTTGGTGATGTTCATATCCTTTTGGTAGACCTGTTCGGCAGCCTTGGTCAGGCAGAACAGATCGGCCAATGTACAACCCATCTGCGAAAGTGAAATTAAGCTAGTTAAGTCGTGAGAAAATTTTTGCAAGGAAGAAATATAGGAACGTCATAACTGGATCAGGTCCTGAGCACCGCGCTCCCCGACCTGGTTTGTGGTCCAGTCGGATGTGTCATCGCAGCAGGCAGGATCAAGCTGATCTTGTCTAAAAGGACTGCTGGCTAGCTCCCGCCGGAGAGTAGGACGTCGATGATGGCCATGTGGTCGGGAGAATCCGCCCTCTTCGACTTCTTCAACCAGGCCTCCTAACCTGAGTCGGGAGTTAGGTCTTTCCCCCTCTGGTTTTAGGCTCGGGCAACGGGAAGGTCGGAGGCCAAGCTCGTCTACACGACTGTTGTGAATGGTAAGCCGGGAGGGATGGATGGCGTGGTGTTAGGTGCACTTGCCTTCTTCCCGCCCAAGGAGACCTTGGGACGGGGGACCCTGGGGGTCGTTGTCTCAAAAGACTCATCGAGACCCATCTCTGCAAAATCGAGCAAGAGTGGTGGTAAAATTCCATAACAATTAGAGTTCGACATGTAGAGGAGATGCTCATAGGTTTCGACCTGCTCGCTGTTTAAAAATGTGTGCCTCCCACTAGAAAGAGTGGGGGCACATATCTATGGAGACGGGCCGTTGAGCGCTCGGCGTAGGGTAACGACGGTCAGAGGATACGCGGGTTGATAAGCTGACGTCTTCCCACTGTGAAGTCTGGGGAATCGCCGGCCTCTTGGTTACCTGGTCGGCCGTGACGCTTGAGGAAGCCTCTTGAACCTCCGTAAAATGCTCGACCTCTTCAATAATGGTGTCGTAGGACGAAATCGAGAACGAGCCGACCTCGACCACTGTATCGTAGTCCCCGATTGAAATGTTCCGGCTGACTGAGTCTGACATTATCCCTCCAAGAGGGAAGGACAGTTAGAAAGGAATCTAACCAAGACTAGGACCGAAAATTTAAAATGAATGAAGAGAACTCGAGAAAGATAACTTACTGATTAATAGCGGGCGAAAGCTCTGATTGGATAAGATTGTGCTCAGAAAGGTTTGATATGCTGCTTGAGTAAGTAGCTCGGGAGGCTCTCAAATTCAAGCGAAGCAAAGTGCAAACTTTGGTCTACTATCAGGCCATATTTATAGAGAAACGAAGCGGGAAAATTTCAAATTTCATAACAGATTCCACGACGCGACACGTGGCGAACAAATTGACTTGACCGGTGATCCGCATGGTACACCGTAGACCGGCGCTGCACACAATCTCG